CAGCGGGCCCTGAGGCTTCTGTTAGGACAGGCCCTTGGGGTCAGGTACAGATAGGGGCAATTGTGGATGATGTAAGGGATCAGAGAGGGGTGTAGGGTGCAGGGACTTAGGTAAAGGGGCAGAGGGGCCTTAAGCTGAGTGGGAGGGAAGGTGGGGAGGCCAAGAAGGGGCCTGAGGCTGGGGTGAGTGGGGCTGCTGTTAGCCAGTAGGAGATTCAACACATACAATGGGGTGCTGGGAGTATATGTGTTGGGGGAGGGCTTCCTTGGTCAGGTGAGGGTGGAGGTGGCTCGTGTCGCCCATCCTGTGTCTCTCTTTTTCACCGAATGAACCTGAACACCCGCCAGGAGAGTGGCCGCTCTGTTCAGCCACTGAACAGATGACTGACAGGGTCAGTCAGGGTCAATGATGACTGACCCTCTGAGCAGCCTCACTAGGCCCAGGTGCTCCAGAGCAGTCCTGAGGGAGGAACCAGTTTAGCCCTCCTTTATAAGTGGGGACATTGAGACACAAGGAAGGCAAGAAACTTGTCCAGAGCTGGAATGTGAACCCCGCTTGTCTGCCTGCCGCCCACGCACTTAACCACTAGGCCGTACAGCTAAAAGAGAGTCTAGGGGCCGGTCCTGACTGAGCAGACACCATGCGGGTGGGGAGACAAGAGCCTTACCCATGTGGCCATTCCTCTTGGTCTTCCTTCATCCAGATTTGCCAGCACCCTGCTCTGAGTCACATGCTGGGCTGGCCTGCAGCAGAGGTGGGGTCCCTAGCATGGAGGAGCACCCAGCCAGTGTGGGAGATAGATGTGTCCCTCATTTTGCAGCCCAGGGTGTGCTGAGTATATGGGGCCCTACAAGTCAGGGGCTGCACACTACAGGCCCAAGAGAGCTCTGGGGAGGGGAGAGGAGATGGTTGTTGGTCAGTGCCTGTTCAGGGAAGGCAAAATCAAGGACAGATAGGAATTGGACAAGGGTTTTTGTCATCCTCGGGGGTCCGGGTCAGGCTAACCCAAGCCCCAGGGCTCCGTGAGAGTCCAGAGGTTACAGGGCAGGGAGCCACTGAAGCTACATGACTGGTTCTATTTCTCAGTCTAGGTGGGAACATGGGCAGAGCCACCTCTGTCTCTGTCTCTGTGTCCTTCCTTTTCTGTCTCTATCTCTCTGTATCTTTTTGTCTCTCTCTGTCTCTCCGTCTCTGTCTGTCTGTCACACACGCATGCACACACACACACACGCGCGCGCTGAAATCCAGCATCTTACTAGTCTAGATGTGACAAAACCTGAGTTCCAGACCCAAGTTTGGAGGAGACCCAGACCTTACAGAAATGAGATGTCCTTTCTCAGAGTCTCATATTCCTGATTTATAAAGGAATTGGAAAAGGTGACCTCAGGTCCCTTCTAGCTTGAACATTCTAAGGTTTTGTGCAATTATAGAATTTCATTATGGAATTCAAAGATAAATTCCAGCACTCTCTTTAATAAAGTCCTGCCCCTCCCCCACAACCCTCTTTATTACTCCTCACTACGCCTCATGTTCTGCCCACTGTAGAGTCTCATCTTTGGTGTGAAGGCATTTTGCCCTTTGCTGAAATCAAGATAGACCCTCCTGCCCCCAAACCTAGCACACTGCAGGAGGAGGTGGTCAGCCCACCTCCATGGTGTGGATGCATGTACTTTTTTTTTTTTT